GACACCCGGATCAAATGAAAGAGTTCAAGCAGGTAAATTTCATTTTAATTTCTAATATTTAGATCAGTGTTTCCTATACATTGATTTATTTGTGGTGGCCCGCCACAATATCAAAACTGACCACCACAAATATTTTCCAAAAGATAGTCAAATTTTTTAATTAGCATGTTTTTGTGTTTTGCTTTGGTACCGAAATTGGTACAGAGAACCATGGATTTTTACTGGTATTGGTACCGAATACTGAAATTTTGGTACCATGACAACACTATTTTCACTTCACAATTCATTAAATTCCAGATTCCCTTACTATTTTCTCATTGAATAACTTTGTTTGTTAAATACATTAGACTATGTAAGTAAAGTGGGAAGCAAATGAAACTTCACATTGATTTTAATAAGAAGGGCTGCCATTTGTTGTGACATTTTGTAATCTAATGTAATTTTTGTGTGGCTTCTAAATACTTTTTAGGCCACTGTGTGTATGGCAAAAGCAAACGTGTGTGTCTGTGTGTAATTAAGCTTGATGGTCTCCTGCTATCATAAACCAGTAGCGGCTCTACACATCAGAGACATATGGATGTTAATGTGGGCTGCTGCGGTGCCAGGCAGCAGGAGAGGGTGTCATAGGTGCTGATATGCTGCCACAGAACTTATGATCAGCAGGAAAAGCAAAAGAACATGTGCACCGTCTCTGTCCTGCTGGGCCGCCTCTCTCTCTCTTTTCCTGCCACATGGTCATATGACCCACCGCTCACCTCTGGTTCCTTTGCTGGTTGGGTTTTAGGGCGGTTTCCCTGGCAACTCTGATCTCGTATGCTTGAGTTCGCTCTGACAGTGCCGCCCCCTTTCCACCCCTCCCGTCCTCTGCTGGCGCTCTGGGCTGCGCTTGTCTCATTCTGATCATCTGCTGTAGCTGTGATGTAATAAGACATGAAGGATCAGGTGCTTTCAACGAGACACATCAACTCTGACCGTCTCAAACCGCATGATGGACACTGAGAAACTGAGGAACCACAAGGTAGTTATAGGCCAATATATCAACCCAGGCAGATTAGAGTCAGGCTATTTTGAGATGATTGTCTTGGCCGATTAACAGCCTGGTGCCTGTTCCAAAATTTACCAACAGCCTTGTCAATATAGATAGTTATTCAGAAAGAATGTTACATTTTCAATTCAGAATTCCAATACTTTGTGTACACCTTATTGGCTGTTTATAAACAGATATAGTGGAATTATTTCTACTTTTTAGATGTGATCATTTCCATTGGTATTTTATTTTATTTTATTCTACTCTGTTTTGTTTTGTTTTGTTTAATTTTATTTCATTTTATTTTGTTTTGTTTTATTTCATTTTATTTTTTGTTTTGTTTTGTTTTTTCATTTTATTTTGTTTAATTTAATTGAATTTTTGTTTTATTTTGTTCTGTTAAATTTTTTTATTTTGTTTTTTCATTTTTTTGTTTTGTTTCACTTTTCATTTGATTTGTTTCTTTTTCTTTTCTTTTATTTCTTTTTGTTTTGTTTCATTTTATTTGTTTTATTTATTTTGTTTTGTTTTGTTTTGCTTTGTTGATTTTTTTTATTTTATGTACCATGGACATATGGTATCGACAAATATTATATATATTTTTTTCTTTCTTTTTGTAGTTTTAATTATTGATCTGATATTTGGCTGCAGAAGCAGATAATATCATGGCATATTTGTCCCATTTTTATGCCAGGTTATGAAAGTACTTTTTCAGTCTTTGTCTTTTGTTTTGAAGTATTGCTTTAAAGCAGCACTATGTAACTTTTGGCGCTCTAGCGGTTAATAAACAGAACTGCACACATCCCGCGGAAGAACATTCCAACCGGATCTACTTCTCTAAGTTTATGTCTATGGCGATTCACGCAGGTATGTGTTACTCCGCAGCGGTGACGACCTGACCAGGCTACAATAGTCCAAATATAATTACTTATTATAAGTGTACCGTAGTGATTCGGAATAAGACAAAAACGCGGTTTGGAAGATGAATTCATGATGTACTCGCTCATTATATACATTTTGCAAATTTTGAACACAGAAAAAGTTACATAGTGCTGCTTTAAGCATAGATTTGAGATTGAACTGTTTTTAACAGACCAAACAATACAGTTTTATAATTTTGTCATCAAACTGGTTATTAGTCATAAAAATAATTGGCTACTGGTGTCAGTCAGACTACCATGTCTGTGCTCTGCATTTGTGGAAAAAATATTGGAAGAATAATTTAAGCAAATGACTCATTTGCATCAGAGCTGAGGAACATTTGGATGACATGTTTGATTGTGGCTTGTTTTCCCTTCCTGTTCATGTTTGGATGATACTGTGTTGACTGTACACTATATTCAATCTGTCTTCAAAATACCTTTGACCACATTAAATCTACTGGAAAACTATAGAAAAATATCATTGTTGTCAACCTGTGCAATATAGAGCAAATCAATCCACATCACAGATCTATATTTTTTTCCTCGAGAGAATATGGATTTAAACTTGTGATGTGTGTTTTGTTGTATTTATGTGTGTGTGCAAACATGTGTTTTATTTTCATTTGCTCACATGTGTGCTTTCGAAGGCAGGTCAGGGTTTATTGATTTGCAAGTTGGCTTGGTGTTCAGCCACAGAAGTCTGAAAGCAATTTGTATTTGTGTTGGGTCACTTAGGGTCACGCAGATGGAAAAAGCGAGCAAGGCGGAGAGAGATGTGAGCGGGGGGAGGAGGAGAACCAGGCTAAATGACCACAGAGAAAATGTCATGGAGGAATTATTCCTCTAGTAGACACAGTATGATACGTATAGTAGTGGAATGTGTGTGTAGCAGGGTATTGATCCAGCATGATCTAGATTTGAGTGTATATTTAGAGCAAAGGGGGGCCCATATGGGCCACTGCCCAAGAGCATGATGGGTAATACTGAATCATCATCATAATCCACTGCCGTCATTCCACAAACCGAAGGATCTGTGCATAGCAGCTTTATTCATTCAAACACAGTTCAAACTAAGTACAACGGGGTCTGCATGAGAAAATACTTCTGTTGCATTTTTTTGCAAATATAAATGTTATATTTGTTTATTTATAATCAGATTATTTTTTTAATTAACAATTTGAGTGAAGTTTGAATCGATAAAATATTATTTTAGATATAGATTATTTATATTAAATATTTAAAGAAAATATTTGGTCATTTTAATTAATCAATTTAATTATTTCCCCGCCAGCATTTTTGAAAAAAGTTGCCAGCCACCGCCAGCGATTTTCATGATTTTCGCTAAAATTTGATGGCCTCCAGTATATTTTGCTGTATGAATATTTGAATATGCAATACACCAAAATAAAGATCAGAGCCTCTACTTTTAAACAAAAAATCTGTTTTATTCTAGCTTAAAGCATTCTTTTTTTATCAACACTTGAATATAGGTAGGTTTCATAAAAAATGCATAATTTTGAGCAAAAACTACATCTGGATAATATTCAGTACGATTATCAAAGCATAAATCCAGTAAATCGCTTCCATCAATACCTCCAAAGCTTGCACAGACATATACCACTTCCTGGATCAACATTTTACTCCGTAACATTATGCAGTTTTCATTTATATGCTGTCTATTGCTGATGATCGCATTATTTTTCATGTGCATCTGTTTACATAAGAGATCGCTAGTTTCTCCGTCCTGTTCACGTGTGTTTTTGTTCAGGAGGTTTTGTACTCGTTCAGAAGATGTGTAATAGCGCCCCTGAGTGTATAACAGTGAAAACATGAAAAGCCGTAAAAACTCGTCTTTGGCGGGGAAGCATTTTCTTCTAAAAGACGAGATAACTCGTCAATGGCGGGGAAAGAGTTAATTTGCTAATTAATTTTAATTAGTTTTTTGAATCCTTATTGTCCATGTTATCCAGCATGACTCAAAAATGTTTAAGAGCATCTGCTCTGTGGTTCTGACCTTTTGTACAAAGGACTTAACATAGTCAAAGTCACAAATATGCTTACATTTCGATTTGTGACCCAGAAATAGTGTATAGTCTTAAATATTTCTTGTTCATTTTAGACTGTAAACTCTTTTTGGTAACACTTTTTTTAGGTGTTTGGTTAACATTTTAGGGTGTCCTTGTTACACGTTACATGTACCTTGTAACCCTAACCCTAACCATATAGTAAGTACATGTAGTTAATTAATATTACTCAATACTTAAATGTATAATTACACTGTAACAAGGACACCTTAAAATAAAGTGTAACCCTCTGTTTGTCAGAATTTTGAAATAAAAAAATCAATTTTCAGTGTGCTCTCAAAGTGTTGGACCCCCACTGTACAGTATGTTCATACCCAAATCACAAGAAATGAACAAAAAAATAAAAATCTAGCACAGCCATATCTAATAGCACCTTGCCTCTCCTCTGCCATCCCACGCACTTCTTCACTCAAACACTCGCCGTCTGTCTTGCCCCTGGATGCCACTCAATCTCACAAATGCCCACACAGTAAAAGCACTCATCACCTTGTGTAACCAGGTGTCAGGGAGTCTGGGGGAGTAATGGTTGCTCCCTGCTGAATGAAAGTGGTGGCACAATCAGACTTGAGTTACTGCTGCTCTTTGTAAGACAGATAATCGCGATGATTGTTCCTCTAATGGAAGTCACTCAGTTCATTAAAACCAGTTCCCTGCGTTAAAGAGCTTTAAACTCAGGGCTAGTTTAGTGTAAAACTCATCAAAAGAGGGGCAGAACCAGTCTTGCCTCTACAAAAGACTTTTGCACAGTCAAGCACCCTTCGATTTTTTCTTTAATAGTCTAAATGTATTAATACAATTAAACCATAAAACAGTAGGAGGTTTGTTGTTGAAACAGTTAACGGTTGCCAGATTGATAAGGATTACACCTGCATTGATTAATGGCGGATTATTGAGGATATGACGGTCATAATCCCTCCACAAAGGTGGCGCATTGATTAGCATCTTAAATGAGCTTTATCTACCGTGCAGAGGAAATGCCATTTGATCTGTTGATGGATTAAATTATATCACAAACATTTTGCCACTGCAATTAGCCTATATTTGATAGCAGTCAGAGAATACTCAAGAGAGGCAGTGCTCCGGCTGGAATTTCCTCGTCTCGTTTAAATCATGTAATGTCTACGGCTAAATGAGTGCTCGAGAGCTGTACCCAGTTTCATTAACACCTTGCATACAGCAAGTGTTTGCATCATGGGATTTGAAGACGCTTGCCTGGTGATTGCTGTCCCTTGTCAGTCCTATTTTTTCAATTATACACTCTCAGAAAAAAAGGTACGAAAGCTGTCACTGGGGCGGTACCTTTTCAAAAGACACACCTTTGTACCTAAACAGTCCATATTGGTGCCTTTAAGGTACATATTAGTACCTAAAAGGTACAAAAGTGTACCTTTTGAAAAGGTACTGCCCCAGTGACAGCTTTTCTTTTTTTCTGAGAGTGTATTGAGGCCAGAAAACCATTTGAAAACTATTGGTTGATTACAGTTTAGCATCTGCGATTGTACACATGCATTGCCAAAACATTCAGATGTTTTTACAATAGTTGTCGCCCAAATATTACTCAAATGAACATGAACCTGCCTTTTTAAAAAATCTTTATTATGTTAATATATGGCAATTAAAATCGAACTTAATGTCTTTCTTATAAGACGTTCATACACTGTATGTGTTTTTACGGTGAAAAATCTTGCTAAACATATAAATCCCATTGCCTGTTTTTTTATGTGCTAAATTCTGTGATTATTTGCACAGAAATCTTAATAAAGTATAATTAAAATATAAAATATAAACATAAAAAGTAATTTATTTAAAAACGAATAGAGCATATTTAAAATGCTTTTCAGATTATTTAAAAAAGCTACTTGAGGAATGACAATTTGTAGACAAATCAATGTTTAATTTGCTTTGCAAATAGGAGAACTCTTTTTGATGGAAGGGTAAATAACTTTCATTTGGCAGCTTAATATTCAATCATTAACAAGGCTTATTTTTACAGCACAATATTAGTTTGATGTGGTAACTTCAGCTTGTAAAGTTCTACTGTTTATTTTATTTGGTTTCATTTTACTTTATTTCATGCCTGTATCATGGCAATACTACCAGGTTTTTTTTGACTCGTAACATGGCAGTTGGTTTGTATGAATACCATAATATTTTATTTTATTTTATTTTATATTTAATTTTTATTTATTTCCTTTAGCATGTTTAGATGACTAAGGTACAGATTAAATAATATCTTGTGTGTGTGTGTGTGTGTGTCATACTAAAGGGGCATTGACCAGACTGATAGACAACAGCAATACTGTTCATGAGTGAGTGCAGTGTCGCCATGGCAACAAACTCCCTTGAGTGTGCTCAGTGCAGTGTCACTCGCTCGCTCTGGTGCACACACACACACACACACACACACACAC